GATGCCAGGAGCAGTTTAGTTGTGACAGTGTGGGCCTTGGCACAGACTAGTTACTCCTACAGGGAAGCACTCATGCCAAAACAAAGGCATCAAGGTTAACCACAATCAGCCCTTGCAGACAAATATATTAATGACTTAAGAAGAGCTCCTCAGTTTAAGGTAAAGGGGTTTTTAATAGTTAAGCTAGAGCAACAACAGCATATCCATGTACCCTGCACTCAATTGAAGAGTCACAATCTAAGCTGGTACAATCTTGCCTGCAGAGCAGCATTAAACCAGCACCAGGCTGTGTGCAGACAAGGCCTTAGCTTCTCCTTTCACAGCAGCACTTACAGCTTCCTACATCACTTTTACCTCCAGAGTCATAATTCCTCTGTCTTGAGTGTACCACATTTTACCCCTGCTCTCTTTATAGTGGTACATTTTTTCTTTCCTGCCTTCATACTGTTATTACAGAAAAAAAAGACACAATACATACATTGTGTATGCTCCAATCTGAGCAGCTGGGTGTGTGCATCACATTTGCTGATGATGAGCTCCCAGTATAGCTGTATTCCCTTTACAACACCCCCCTAATTCTGAGAGGTGTGTAGGAGCAAAGCAGTGCCAGGGCACTTTGCATCTGGGATCTTTACACAAGCAAACACTATTCACTTGAGTCCTGGGTGTTGAAAGTCTGGCTGCAGAATAAAGAAAACTGAGAGGGGACCCGAAAAGGACATTTGTATGAGCAGAGGCAGGGCTCCCCAAACCTGGCCTCCCACTTCCAGGAGGTGGCAGCATTACCCCGGCTCTTCATAACCCACCACCCTGAAGCAGGAGAGGTCCCCCACAGAGGGTGCTCTCCTCTGACTGAAACACTGCCCAAGTCCCACTCACCAACTCCTGTCCAATGCAAGTACCAAGTTAAGATACTGCAATAGGTAGCTAGGAACTCCTGCTATGGATCTCTCTGCAGTTCAGTGAACAGAAGCTTCGTGCCTTGGTGTGACAGACAAGAGCTTTTTACTCAAAGTTCTACCATGAGAACAATACCAAGAAACATTTAATGTTTCTTTTTTGCCCATTAAACCCTCCTAACTCTCCTGTGCTGTTACTGTTATCAATAAATGCAGCTAAGATGTTTAAACAGCTCTAGCCTGAGCTGAGTAAATTACTCATTCATGTCATTAAGTCTACTAAGGTAAATCAGCTGAATTTCAAAGATTTGAAGTATTAATAAAGTACTTAGTATCATTATGGCTAGGTAGTTTAAAAGCTGAGATACTGCAAACATCTGTCTTCTTCCCCTCCTTTTGGAAAACTAATTTTCTATTTTAAAACTGCTGATACATTTACTGCTGATTCCTATTTGGCAATTAATGGCTAAATTATATTACAAAGTCTCAAGTTTTGTGCTATAAAGCAGAAAACCTGAATTCAGGTGCCTCAGGCATACACAGACACCACTGACAAGCCTCTGCACTGGCAAACCCCACGTGTGAAGTACTCCTCCACCCCCTTTTCACAGGGCAACGCTGAATGGGAGAGACAAATATTGTCACAAATGCAGTATGTGGTACTAATTAGTGTAAAACTAAGTATAAAAGCCATCAGCAGAGTCAAATGAGCAGTGGATGCAAACTGCTCTCATGGTTCCTTCTCAAAAAAAAAAAAAAGGTGTTTATATTATGCTCCTTAAAGTTTGTCCTCCTCCAGTACAATTAAAAATGCTTCCTACTACTTTAAGATGCATGTTACCCTGCTAACAAACCATTTCAGCAGTCATTTTCAGTGGTGCTTCCCCACAAACACCTAGAAGTTCTTATTAGGTAACTCAAAGGCTGGTTTGCTTTTGGTATTAATTTCACATTCCCTTTGATATGACCTCAATATTGATAATTAACACTAGGCTCACATGACAAATTCAGGATTTCTATCACAGCTTGGATCTCTGAACAGCAACATTCATAAATCTCAACAATCCATATGCTTGTATCAATGTGGAAGCTAGAATGACTTCTGAAATTCGATGTAAGAGTTGATACTAACTGCATATAGATACCAGAGTACCTAATGAAATTAAAAGTAATGCTTCTGAAGGGGAATGTAACAATTTCTTCTTACATGTGTAGTTCAAATGCTGCCGGCAAGTTTGGAAGTACTTATACTTAATATTTACTTATCAAAGCAAGTTCAAGGTATTTCCCACTCTAGTTATTAAGTGAATAGGATTATTTTCACTAGGAACATCAAAATTTTAGACAGTGTCATTAATCAGGGTCCAGATTTTGGTGTACAGTCACTTCCAAGTACAGCCCTAAATCATACTCAAAAAAAAAAAGCTGCAGAAGAAAAATTAGGAAGTGAAGAAACATGAACTGATAGGGTAGCAAAGAAATCACTGCTCTAGAGAACTGTATATCACTAGCACCAAATATCCTTTTCTTAAATGTAGAACAGGCTGGGAGGAGAAAAGGGGCTCAGTGGCAGGATTTAGATGCAAATATACTACATGCCTCTATCACCCTACTGTTAAAGTGGCTCAACTGTCTTCTTCCTGCTACTTAATGAAAGTACTGTCATATGTAAAAACAAAATCTTGTCTCTGACAATTAAACATACAAAGTAAATCCATCTCTGAAATATGGTAACCTGACTGATGGAAGGAGTATTAGAGAGTAATTCTGCTAATCAAGTTAAGTTTCCTTAATTCCTAAAGGGCCTCATGCACTGAAGTCACAGAGGATTTGCAGAACGTGGCTGGAAGCTGTGGGAGAACGTGGGTGGCATGCTGAGATACTCTATATGGAAGAATCCCGTCCTCTGCCTCCTCTAGGTGACCTGAAGTCCAAACTTTAGACACCTAGGTGTCTGAAACAAGTCATCTGGAACGTCTTTCACACTCAGTGTTCAGAAACACATTTCTAAACAATGAGTCACTTTGTTCTACAGGTTTTGTCCACTGAAGGTGTTTTTCTTGACAGACTAGCCCAGACTTAGAGTGAGATGCCTCTCACCCATTTCCATACCGCTGTAATTCTACATTTTGAACAGCATATAAAGATTTCTCACAACATCTTGTAGAACACTCTTAATGATGGTGCAATGGCAGCTTCTCAGGAAGATCACAGATCAAACCCACCTATCAAAAAGCAGGGTGCATTTTTTCACAAATACAATTTACAGAGGAACTCAGTAACAGCATGGAGCCCCCACGTATTAGTACAACTTACCTTAATAATGGCAATCTGAAGTTCTTCTTTGCATTTGATGTGAGAGGTCTTCGTCACACAGACTCGGTTCTTTTCTATGTGTTACTAAAGGCTGGTTGGTACATACATGCATTTTTGAACCAATTCAACAATTTAGCTACAGGAATCCAACTTTCTACTGAAGTTGGTTAAATCCGCATAACCTCCAGCATGGTAAAACTTAAGAGCAGCTGCCCTTCTTAAAAAACATAAACCACTAAACTTATTGCCTCAAAATTTGTTTTCCTGTCTCCTAGGAAAAAAAACCTAAAGCAGTAAAGACATTTTAAAAGTGATATGGTTATATGGACACTTGCAATTACAGTGACATAGAAAGAAACATTAATATTTGACATGTAAATTATGCCCTTATAGTTTCATTTTTCTTTCCCATCTAATTTTAGTTGTTTGAAACACTACTGTTTTTGACAAAAAAGCTATAGTTTCTTCAGAGGAAGCTTTAAAAAAGTTTAACAAAATACATATCTTAGCAAAAGGCACAGGGCGCAAGTAACAAAATATGGAACAAAAATATACAAGAAAAAATCATAAAATATTTCATGTGGTAAACAGAATTAAAATATACCTTGCAAGTCTACCATGTGGTATAATAATAAACAGCAATTTAGGGTAGCTGGTGTTCCCCCAGTGTTCAAAAATTACATCTAAAAACCATAACCTCATCTTAAAGATAACTTACAAACTTATAAACTTTACATATACTGTGTTTGACAACTAGTTTTGTTTCTGAAAATAAAATGTAAAATGGCTGAGGTGTGGTTAAGAAAGCTGTGAGAACTGGATTTCTGAACATTAATCTCCAAGTGAGTAAACACCAAGTCATATGTTTTGTAGATGGTGAGATATAAGATTCCATCCGAAGTTCCACCACTGCATTATAAAACTACTTAGTTGGAGTCAATCAAAAAATGTCATTATCAGAAAGACTTGTTCAGGCTACAAAGCAGCATTTACTTACCTTTATATCAGTTACATGGATGCTATTCAAAACCTGCAAAAATATGCAAGGCAATATCTCTGCCTAACATCCACTTAAGATGTGTTCTTGTGTGTGTGGAGAATGTGTGAAGTATGAACATATAAATAGAAGGAAAACAAACAATCAAAATAAAGATTGCTACCTCCCCCCAAACTTAAAAGTAAAGAATGGTCCTTAAATTCTTTCATGTAGAGAAGAAAAGCAGCAGGAAGAACTTGGATACACTTGACAGTTAAAAGCTGTTTGCAGAAGTGTATCGTTGGATACCACGCTGAAGATTTCAGTCTTGGCACTAGCACTGAAAATGCAAGACCTGAGAGACAGGTGCCAAATCTAAATTACAAAAATACAGTTCAAATTAGTACAGTCACTTGTTGATCCATGGCACACGCCGTGCAACCACTTTGTAAAACTTAAATGTATCAATACTTACCTTTTCTAGATCAGAAACAGTTACTGTCTTTTTATGGGAAAAATTTTAAGCTTAACCATGTAGTTTTCATCCAGAAACCAGCTGGGTAGATTTGACAGCCTCTTAATCATACAACTGTCATATAATACAAATAAAAATTCTACAAGTGTCTCCCATTTCTGTGCATCTCTGTATGAGAATCTTTGAAGGTGGAGAAAAGTAGTTTGGTGCCACATTTAGGGGAAAAAAAAACCAAAACAAATCCTAAACTCCCTAGCCTTGCAGAGCCAAGGATGGATGGGGACTGAAAGAAAATGGCAATGACTATTCAGGACTATCCCTGTGCGATACATACATTTGAACAACAGTGAAGATGAAATGGCAGTAGTCCTTTCAGGCTTTACAGCATTGTAATTATGGTCGCTGGCCCAGGACGGTGTGCTGGGTTCTGCTGCTGGCTCTCTAGCAATAGCTTGAGTGTTTGCCTCAATCTTGGCAGGTGTCAAAATAATCTTCTTTATATTCACCTCTCTTTTTTCAGGAAATGGTCTCTTTTGGTTTGAAAGAGGCTTAGTACCTGCCTGTATGATTAAAAGAAGCTTAATTACTAGTAGTCATCAAATATACTATATTTTACAAACAAGCAGAGATATAGTTACCTACAGGCACACATTTCTTTCACAGTAAACTCCTGTAAATACACTTGAAATTATGTTCTCACACTCAAGTCTCTAAAGCAAACGTAATATACACTAACTTCAGGAAAAGAGAATGGCAAAGAAACCACCTCAAAACAACAGTAATTATCAAGCTGGTTTTTTTGTTTGTTTGCCTGAAAAAAACCTGCCCATTTTATAGTGGTTCCAAAAGGTAAAGGAGGCAGCTTTGGTGTCATTGTTCTGCTTCCCAAAGCACACAAAGAATGCTGTTATGATAGTTCACAATTGAGAGCAATTCCCAACTGCCCAAATCCCAGTAAGCTGGTATTAAAACAAAGGTAAAATTAATTTGGAAAGAAATAAAAAATATCTAATGCTTATACTTTTATTTAAAAGATAAATTGATTTGGAATTGAATTTTTAAAATTTTAAAGTTTGCTGCCACCTAGAAAGTCTTTCCAAGAAATTATCTCTATCTAGAGGCAATTATGAAATTTTTTAAAAACACAAAAATAGATTGTCAGAAGAAGTAAACAACACTTACCACAGAAAAAGGCAAGAGAACAATTTAAAAAATGTAAAGCTCCTCTTCAATGCAGGACTTGGCAATTTTATTTGACTCAAAAAGGAGAGCACAGAAATAAGCCCCTGTGCTTCAGGAGAAGTGTTCTGGACCACGAGCATAAACTTACCTGCACTTGAGATTTGGGCATGCCAGGTTTGTCAGATTTGGGTTTGATCTTCTCTTTAGGTTTTGGTTTTGCCTCTTTGCCAGCACTTAAGAACTTCATGGTGGCTGCAGCGTGTTTGAGAATGCAGTCATTGCTGCAGTACACGGAGTCAGGCTGGGCCACGTTGAAACAGCCAGGGCCAATGCACTTGGATGCACCAGGAGCTTCAACCACCTACAGGATGGAAACGGAGTGAGTCCAAACTTCAAAGAGGAATCAACAGAAATGTGTCTTTCTGACAGGAAGAAATGCTTACACAGCTGCAGTCTGCACAGAATGATAGAACTGTTAGTGACATGCAGCATGAAAACAGCTTTCATTCGTGATGTAACAGAAACAATCCATACAGATGTAAGAATTCCACTCCAGCAACAAGCTATCTTCAGAATGGGCTGTATTTTCAAGTGGTTGGTCTGCTAGCAGTGAACTCTGACTGTTTTCCTAGCTTCAGATCCCCTAAGCACATAAATGCTTCTTTCTGATCCTCTGTGTCATGTGAGGAATCTCAATAATGCAGAACTGGTTTCTCAAGAGCCATGCACACAAGCACAAGGAAGCACTCGGCTCTTCAGCTGCACAGGTAATTCTTGCTCTAGAGGTTTACCAGTTTTAATTTTAGAAGTCTCCAACTTACATAAACACAACCATTCTCCTAGAGAACTCTGCCACAGCCTGACACCTCTTACACACTGAGAAGTTTGCATATGCACTCTATATTCTCCTCCACTTCACCATTACTTCCTATTCATAGCGAAGTGTTACATGCTGAGCACTTCCTCTTCAAATGTGTAGGATTTAGAAAACAGAACATTCTTCGAAATTAAGAGTATATTAGCTCAGTCTAGAAACATCTGAAAGCTCTACAGGCTCCAACCTATCACTAGGCAATATACCTTTAGTCTCACTCTTCCACGTTGCTCCTACAGCTGACCTAACACTTCCAACTACTATAGTTCTAGAAAGTCTCTCCCTTAGCAAGAATCTGCAATTTGTAATTACAAAAAAAACACACCATAAGTTTTTGAGGAATATTTCCCATAAAGAAAAAATTTTATTTGCATAGTGTGGCTTATTTTTCCCCAATCACAGGTGTCAGTAAGACAGCACTATCCGCTGCAGTCTGGTAAAACCTGTGGCTGGGAATTCTCCCACAAAAATCAAGTTTATGCTTTAGAATACTCTCCCATCATGTACAAACTTAACTGTGAAGTACAAGAAAGAAGTATCAACTCATGTTACTTAAGAAGCACCTCAAACTTCACACCAACTGAGCTGTCACTTCTGATGAAGGGCATTTACTCAGATGATGACAAAAATGTCAAGTGTTGCTGTCTGTATTTCCAAGAGTTTAAACAACAAACCCAAACTCCACAGCTGTGGGTGCTTATGGACAGCAACTAACAGGTGTCTCTCTCCAAGTGCTTAGAATATTGGTTTAGGAGAACAATAAACTGGATGAGACTGTTCAGCTGCCATGACACAGGGTGATTTCTGCACACCAACATGAAGTAGCAATGATTATTTTGCCTAGAATGGGCAGGGAATTCTCAGAGAGTGATGCTTGTTTACACAAGCCAGAGAGGGATCTTAACCAAGGTATGAGGGACAAGGGCTAAAACACAGACTTGACTGTTCAGTTCTCTCAAAACTCCTGGCAGTCCCAAACAGAGCAGTCCCATTTGCAAATGCCAACAGAATACCTTAAACATAGGCAGTTCTTTCATGAGAGGCAATGAGGAGTTCATGATAATTACAGTTTTATTCCACGAAAGGAGCCATGCCTAACATGTTCAAGTACCTTGTTAGCATGCTAACATTAAAAAGTAATTGGTGATTTTGAGAAGCAGAACTTAAAATTCTGTCAGTGAAATGCAGACCAGCACTGACAGAACTGGACTCTCAAAAAGGTGGGTTGTGTGCATGAAGAAGTACAATTGTATTTGAAACTATCTGAAAACATTTTTGAGCAAAATACTGTTTTCATAAAGATTTCTATAATATGCTTTGGTTATTGTTCTGATTATACATGAAGCTCACCATGCTGATAAGGACAGATCTGTTATTTAATTTGACTAGAAGTGAGGAGGGTGTTCCACAAATGTTTTGTAGAATATGTACAATGGTAAGATTCCTCCAGAGAGATGTTTATACTCTAATAGCTATTCTAGGGGTGATTTCAAAGTTTAAAGTTTAGGCATGAAAGCACCAATTCCTACAGAAAAAAAAATATGAAAAGCTGTAGCAGTGTATCAGCAAATACACTACACATGCTATTCAAGACATAGTAAGAAGGAAGATGTTCAAGGTGTTGGCATCTCTGCAGTAGCTCAGGCAGTACAAAGACAACCACCATAGCATGAAGCTTTTTAATTTGTGTATGCTGAGACAAAGAATCTTCTTTGCCTGTGTTTTGAACTGGGCATGGAACTTGCCATCACAAGAATTTAAAGGTCTTTTATATTTTTTGCCAGAATTTGTAATAACTTGTAATATGCATTTTTATGTTAAAAAAAGCAATATAAAACAATTCTTTATGTGCCAGTGACTTGAAGAAGCATCAGGACTTCAAGGACTAATTGGGAATATAAAGAATATTCAGCTGGCATTAACTCCAACACTTAGCTATGTTTAAGTTTCACTATCATTGAAACTGTCCAAAATTGTTTGAGATTATTTCAAAGCTAGTATAAACCAGACCAAAATTCAAATATTTTTATTGAAATAACACCTTATTATACTTCCAAAACAGTACTTGGTAAGCCTTACATCTACAAAAATACTTTTAAAACTTCCACTTCAAAATAACACTTTTAGTTTTAGTTCCTGTACTGACAGAACAATGAATAAGCTTTTACTAAACAGTAATATTTAGCAGTAATATTTAATGAGTTGATTAGCTTCACATTTAGCTTAAAAAGCCCCACAAATCAAACTTGCAGCTGTATAAGTACATTGTCCCAATGTCCTCAGAAAAACATGAAAAATAAGAAACAATTAAAATACTTACAGGTTGAAATATCTTTAGTTTTTTCTTTCCACTTGGATTTGCAGTCTTCTCAATCCTACCCTTGATTCCTTGGTCCTCCACAGATTTTTGTTCAATTGTTCCCATGCTTGTGAATTCTGTGCCATCCACATTTCCTTGCCCTGCTTTAGTTTCCTGCTGGTCTGTTTCTGATACAGACTCATCCTGTCCCTGCAGAATGGTGCAGTTTGGACAGATATAGTCCTCACCATTCCTTTCCAGCAAGCGCCCTCGAGCCTCAGAAATACCCACGCAGTTACCATGAAACCATTCCTCACATCTATCACAACAAATCATAAACCTGGAAAGAAAACCCAAAGAACAGTAAAACATCATGAAATAAATTAAAAAAAAAAAAAACACAGACAAAAACCAAGCAATTAATGCTCAAGAGATGTTTCAAGTAGCAGACCTTAAGTACCAGTGAACTGTTCTGCCTCACTGCTCATTTCTAAATTTTTTATCCCTTCTTCTAAATATTATAAATTCCCCCCCAAACTTCAAAATGAGCCCAACAGCTCATTTACCTCAACTCAAAAAGCATTAGCATTTAGTTTCAATTTTCATAACAGAAAAATTCAAACCACTTGTCCTGCATTTTCAGTTGAAACCTTTGCCTACCTGTTGTTATGAGGCTGACGACAAATACAGTACAGGGTATTTGGGTCATAGATCTCAGACTCAGGTTTGCTTTTGGGCAGTTCTTCAGGTTCTTCACCTGCTGTCCCTTTTGTGCCAGGGGCAGGCTTTGCCTCCTTCTGAACCTCAGAATCTTCAGTGTCTTCCTCAGACACAACCACCTGACCTGCAGTCTCGGTGTTGTCCCCAGTCTCAGGCTCTTGTTTGACATGCAGCTCAGACTCAGTTTCTTTTTCAGGCTGGACATCACCTTTTTCTGGAGGATCTTGGTCTGAATTTCCTTTCCCCTTCAGCGTGCCCTGCACGGGTTTCTCTTCAACGACGCGTTTCTTTCGCAGCCGATTCTGCAGCTCCTTTAATGTCAACCCGTCGCTATCACTATCAGAAGTATCCTCTTCCTCGTCCTCCTCTTCTTCCTCCTCCTCTTCTTTTGCAAGTCTGCTTTTAGAGTCTTTCTGATCCTTACTGCTCCTAGTCATGATCCTCCGAGTCACAGGTTTTGTGTCTGGGGTGCTCTCAACACTGTCTTCTGAGGCAGTTTCAGCATCTGTGGCTGGACAGGAGGCTGGTTCACCTGAATCTTCCAGAGTCGTGGGGACACTCCTCCTTCCCCTGCGCCTCACCGTGGTAAGAAACTCTTCCACTCTTTCTGTCCGTTTCGGCTGCCGCCCACTACGCCTGAGGTTCAGGCCTTGCTGCTGCTGTGGCTGCTGCTCACTGGAGTCCACATCAACATCTCCTGCACTTTCTCGCTTAGCAATCGTAGTTCTTCGAAACCCCCAAGTCTTCCTGAACTCTTTACTTGTAGGCTTGATAGTTTTTTGTTCCTCCTCATTGCTCTGCTCTCCTTTCTCATCCAAAACGGATGCTAAAAACAAGGGAATCGTTATTAAACCGGTGGCGAAGGAAGAGATTTTTTCCTATCAGTTTTTTTTCAACATAGTATCATTTTCTTTGTGATAATATACAACTACACATTACCTTTGTGGCAATATACATCTCTACATTTGACCCTGAAAGCAAGATAAAATGTTCCTTGTAATACAACAGCAATTAAATACATCCACAGAGTGTTCAGTGATGTAATCCAGCTGTTAAAAACTCTTCAGTTATTTGAAAATATATGTAAACACACACAATGGGCAAATAAGCATATTTGTTGCTCAGTTCTAAAGGAGGAAATCTTACCAGGAGAATTGTTTTCCATGTTGTCAGTATTAGATTCAGATTCTACTGTCTGTGAATTTACAGCTTGTTCCATAGTACAGACACCACTGTCACCACCCTGAAATGCTGAAGAGAAACATACAGTTCAAAACTCACATTCCAAAATATTCATAGCCTAATTAAGTAGCCTTAGGATTTCTGGTATTTCTCAAAAAAAATCCTGTCATGGTATGAACCTATTCCCTGGGGTTTGTCTGGGAAGTGTCCCCTCCTTACGTAGACACAAGAACTGCTCCTGCACCATGGTGAAAGAACACGGGCCAGAACAAGGAGTCACCCAGACAGACTGGCACTGTGTGACAGGTGAGAGTGACATCTGCTATCAAGAACATTTTCTAGTAGAAAAACATTGCCAGTTACCTGCAGCACGATAAGAAGCAAGGTAGAAATAACACTCTGTTTAAAGACATGCAAAGCTACCACTGTTCAGGTAACATGGGGTTAGTCAACTAATAAGGTTTTGGATTGGTAGGAAAATATAAAAGCAGAGAAATACTCCAGTCTTCCTTCTTAAAATAAACCAGGACTATATCTTGTCTATTAAACAGTTTAGCTTCTATTTTACAAGTTGTTTCAGAAACACTGCCAGACGTTCAGGATAAAGCAACACACTTTCCCTTCATTATTTCTCTAATAACGCTCATTGGATAGAAGAAATTATACAGAAAAACACAAAACAAAAATCTTCCCAAACACCTCTCTGGGAAAAAAAAAACGAAAGCCTGCACTGAATGAAGCTTGAGAAAGGCTGCTCCTTGACATGGTCACCTACAAAAAGGCTTTCAGCCTATATGATCTACCAGAATGACAAAAAAAACCAACAAAACAGGAAAAAAAAGATTCAGCAAAGAACCTCCTGCTATCACACATGGAGTTGTAAGGGGAAAAAAAAAAAAAAAAAATTAAATTCTGGTAGCCTAGGTTCTCTTTTTTTCCACAAAAGTTTCTTCCAGCATACTAGGACACTGTTTGAGAAGACAGAGGCAAAGGAGAGAAGCAGATCTAAGACCTGAGACTGCATTTTGAGTAATTCAGGAATAAGGGGTATTAAAGTCAGTATTACACAATGGTGTGTTTTAAATGAGTTGCATGCCATGTGCTCTCCTAAATGACTGCAGAGACAAGGTTTTGCAGTCACTGCAATTACATTGCTCAGGTGAAGCTCTAATAAGCAGCAGAAATTTACCCCAATGAACAGGGTAAACAGAAATACTTTAAAAGCAGTAAGACACACACCCACCCACCCCCAGCTCTCCCCTAAGAATGTTACTCAGAAGTAACTCAAGTTTTGAGCTGTGTGTTCCTGGCTCAAGAATTGCTCAGGCAAGCCAAAAGGGAACATTAACAGAATTCCTAAATAAACAGTACTCACTGAAAGCATTGAAGATATTTCTAACAGCTGTACATATTACAGCCATGAGTTTTCAGAGGCAACTTTCTGTAAGCCTTTCCCAGTCCTGCCACGTACACTGGTGATAAATGCCTCATTTCATATTCTGCATCAGTTGCATTGAAGTTGTGCCTCAAACACAATCTCTATAGTGCAACTCCTCTGCTTTCTAGTATTGTATTTAACAATGACACAACAGAAACATTAACAGCCAATGCTACTGAAACAAACACCCATGCAGAGGTGTTAAAATATTAAATTTTAAGTTACAACTTAAGTGTTATTTCAATGATACTAAAAACATCACTGCAAAATCAGCAGACTCCAGAACATCAATTTAAATAATAACTGATAACTTTTAACATTACATCCAGATTAAAAAGTGAATTTTAAGCCTGTAGTACACAAAAGCTGAAACTGCTTCAATCCAATATGAAATTCCACTAAGTTCTGTAGAAAAAAATCACTAACTGTTTTTTTTTTGTTTGTTTGTTTTTTTTAAATCAACACTAAATTATATTTACACCAGAAAGACTGCAATGGAAGGATGGTAACAAATCAAAATAGCTAAATTTACATCTTTGTTTACCTTGAAAGATGAAGAAATGTAAAAGCTACAAGCAGAGGTAATCCAAATTCTCAGATTTAAATTCCAGATAAAATGTAAAGAAATAAAGAAGTCTCTTCAATGTCCTCTAGATGCTTTACCTGACACAGCATTAGAGGTTCGAATGGTTTCTCTCTGTAGAGTGGAATGAAATGTAGAACCAGTGGAGGGCAGCAAAGGATCAGAGTCATTCAGCATTATCCTCCCAGCCCATGCTGAATTCCCCGATTCAGAACTGCCAGACCGAGTCTCTGAGCTGTCAGCAGGACCAAACACTGTCAATCCTCCTTTTCCTGCTGGCTCCTGGGGAACAAAAAAAAGGGACAAAATAAAGCACTGATACACTTAAGATCTTACTATTGTTTTGCTATTACATTATAAAGCAAATTCTGTTATTTTGGCTTCCTGACAGCTTTCTACTGTCAGACAACAAAACTGGAAAGAAAAGTCAAAGTAAAGTCAAAGAAAACCACCAGAAAAAAAGGCAAAGTAAAGCATCACCTCCACCCCTTACCAACAGTAAGAGACCTTTGAGACCTTTGGAATAAAAACAAAACACTATTGCACTCTCATCACTTCATTTAGATCCCATTAAGACTTCCCAAACAGTAACAAACTGTAATTACCAAGAGTGAAATTTAGTGACCGTATATTGGGCAATGAAAATGCAGAAATGCTTTTAAACTCCATATGGCAGATTTACCAGTTTGTACTAAAATTCATCACAGAAGATATCTGCAGCTTGGAGGATTTAAATCCAAGTGCCTACTCAGTGGTTTTGCAGGGTGGAATAGCAACATTTATAGCTGAGCTTCAGAATTAAGGAATATTCCTTATCACTGTCCCTTCCACTAATAAGGACTGCAGTGTAGAAAATTTCAAAAGCCTTATTTCAAGGACAATAGATTATATCAATGAGAACAAATTTTTCCCAAAAAGTAACCCTTGGAAAACATGTCAAAAATCACAAAGCATCCACTTAAAGCATCTGAAGAACAATTGTTTAGTCCAGAGGTCCCAATTCACAGGCAGAATGGCAACAGAACTCGAGCAAATGAGCTTGAAAATCAGTAGGAAGTGTCTGCATTTAACCCAAAGTAGTCTACCAAACTACAAGAACACCAGAAAGAATTTGGGAGAAACAGGAGGAGCAGATGGACAGAAAAAGTCACTTTGAAATTGGTCTATAAAATAATTAGTGAAGATGGAAGAACAATACTGGCTACAAACTCTGCATGTCAGAGTTATGCAATTGAAGCTGATGGGGCACTGCCTTAGTAGGTGTAGGAACTAAATAAAACATGAACAATTCTTTCCCAGCAGAAAAACTGATTAAGACTTCATGTGAGCACCATACAAATGGAAGAACACATTGGAAAATCCTTCATAAACATCCCAATACACAGTCCTGACTTTTTAAAGAATACATCATTTTTTTCCCCAAAAAACCTCTCAAGCCCTCAACTCTGAAATATTTGCTGCTCAGAAACACTTCTTACTTCCTAAGCAACGGCCTTAAGAGACTAGGTGTTCCCCAATGCCATGGCATGTCATCATCCCCAAAATACGGGGAAACAACAAACTCCTCCCCAGATCCGATTTTCACCAGTGGATCACTTTATCATTTAATGAATAAATCTTAAAATTTGCACGGCTGTGGCAAAGAAAAATTAGGAGAAAAGCCACAGCTAGATCCACATCAGTACTTCCTTCCTTTGTACTCTGCAGGGGTTATGTAAATTTTTCTGGGTTGTTTCCTTCAGCAAACTATTCCCACTCCAAAAAGAGGAAGAAAAAATGAAACAGACAAGACAGCAGAACGAACTCATTTTCAAGGTCCTCTTGCTGTATCTCATGGCACTGAATACCTGCTCTAATAGGCATTTGGCTCCACTGTCTGAAGCAGTTATGATATCCAGGGAGTCAGTCACTGGTGGCTGAACACAGTCAGAGTTTACAGTGCCTTCTTCCATGCTCCTGCTCTGTAAGAACCTCTCAATCTCCCTGTTCAGAATCTCCAACTGATCACACATCAGGCAATTTTTAAGTGATAAGCCTAAAGGAAGAGGGAAAGTCAACTAATCACTCCTTGTTCAACTCTAATATTGAACTGTGAAATAAACTATGCCTCTAGAATGTGCAAGAAGCATGTTCTGCTTGAATAATTTATCCAGAAACATCCTGAAGAGAGAACTGTCTGAATGATTGTCTTCACAGCACACAATTACAGATCTGGGCATTCAAGGCTCTGTGTGCAACACACTCTTTACAGTTATGTCTGAGCCACAGAGCCAGTATCATTACAGCATTCCAAAACTGAGCTCAGAATCATCTTCTCTTCAAGCCACATTCTGGGTCATACTTAATACTTTCAGTGGTAGTCACACCCCACACAGTGGCAAGGCTGCACAGTGAACAGTAGTGCTCTCATTTCACATAAAATAGCATTTTGAACATAAATAATAATTGAAAACTAAGAGATTCTATGCAAGAATGATGCTTCTTTTGGCATTGGTAGATGTTACTACTATGACCTGTATTATGACCTCTATTACCTACAGGAATAAACTAACAGAACTGCAATTTTAAAATCATTTCAAATTTGAGAGGTATAAAAATTCAATACACTTAAAAGACTAAAACTGAATCCCCCCTATATTTGCTGTAAAAAGATTGGTTGTTTAGTAGTATTAGTATTTAATATTTCCATTTTGTTCTCTCCCCATTGGGTCCAAATTACTGCTCAGGAAAAACAAAGTAAGTTTCAAACTTGTTTTACATGAATCTGCTCTTGCATCTTAATACAGGTTAAACTCAAATGTGTGAAAGAAGCTGAAAAATCAAATATTATCAAAATATAAAAGCACATAAGCCTTAACTCACAATTACACTTTTAAACACCACAAGCCTGCTGGCACTTCTAAACAAACACCTAGGAACTGTCTGCAAACATATTTACTACATCATAAGGAAACTTTGGCAGTCTCCAAGTATCTGTTTCTCTTCCCAATGCAGTATGATTTTTGGTTGTTTGTTCTCAAGTTAACTATTCACTTGCAGTTGAAATACTAACTGAGAGGCAAGCCAAAGCCCTAGACTGGTTATCTTCTTTTAAAGGAATTGGATATCCATGATCAACTTCATCTTATTTCTCCTAATACAGTACAATAATCACATCTCTGAAACGAAGTTTCAGCCAGAAACTGAAAAATAATGTACAGCAGAGAATCAACATCACCCTGCCTTTCTGCTACATCTCCTTTAGAAAGGATATTGTGTACCTCTGAAAAATGTGAGACAAGAATCTCTATAAATGATGACAAAATAATGTTAATAATAAATGTATATACTCTTGCTTATTCAGGAAGTCCTCTGGTATTGCTTAGGTTAACTTCTGTGGTAAGCAAACCTCTCACTGTGAAAACGTGCAAGCTTTAGGACAAACAATAAATAAAGTTAGAAACACAAATCAGGATTTTCTTAAAGGAAAAATCCCCTCCCTTTCACAGGTGAAGTAAGCTTTGCCAACACAAACCCTAGACTGAATTAAATGGTTAACAGACCATACACAGCAGGTCACAGTGCTTATCAAATCCATGTTTATAGACCAGGAAGAGCAAAGTCCAATCTTAACACTACTCAGGTTGCTACTGTCCTGCTCCCTTCCCCAAGGCTCAGGTACATGGTCTAGGCCACAGCCACCCACACACCACAGAAACAGGCAGTGGGCTCCTTAGCAAACACTCAGCAGCAAAACCTGTCAGAGTGATCCAAGAATAAACGAACTGAACATCAGATCTAAGGTACAGATCTAGTGTTCTCCATCCCATGCAAGGGCAGGGATGAGGAACAAGGCAGAGCTGGTGCAGCATCTGACTGCTCTCCCTCCCACCCAAAGTGCCCACCACGGTGCACATAGCAAGCACTCATCAGGCCTCAGCCAGCACCATTTCAAGTCCAGACTCTTGTTTTAAGCTTTCAAACAACAGCAATGTGAGCATTCTGCTGAAAGGAAACAGTCACTTATAGAAGAGTGGAGCATCGAGCTGAAGCACAGCGCCTGGAGAAAAAAACATTCAGCCAAGAAAACACGTACTGAGGTTCTTCCTTCCCCATTAGTTTGCAGGTAAAATGTTCCAGTTCTCCCAAAACAGATTAGGCACTTGAATTAATTTGGGACCTAAATTCCAGAAGCAATAGAAGCAAAAAAGTATCCTGCCCTAGAGAAAACCAACCCAAAATAATAATAATAAAAGAAAATCCCACATAACTGTCACAAGCTTTTATTTTAAATTGGGTCAACTCTTCTCAAGCAGTGAGAAACCAAAAAACACAGGGCTGCCTACTCTGTAAGAGGCCAGAGGCCACCCCTCTCATGCAGCATCCCTGCACTACTGCAAACCTGTTTGCTTTTCAGTATACAGCTTGCAGAAATTCCAGATATAAAAAAAAATCTGTATATATAAAATTCCAGAGCAGTGTCAGCTGCCAAGTTAGCAAGTGACAGAAAAAAAATTTCAAAATCCTGCTATGGAACAACCGTGTTGGTCACAAACACACAGTATATATTAAAAATCTGTCCTCCAACATGCCTTCATTAAACAAGCTTGTAATCTCACTCCATTTTCTGTAAAATATATCATCCCCCCCCACTCAGGGAAACCCTTGAGAAAACCATACTGCTACCTGCACCCATCTTTGTAACCCAACAGCTCACAAAGCTCAGGCAAAAAGGAGGAGGGATTATCTCCTCCAGGAGCTCAGAGCCAGATGTTAAATGCAGGACAGGACAGGCAACTTGCAGACACCTGGATCTGCTGGTGCTGACTTCATTAAGCCCTTTTTAAGATGCCTCAATATAACATCTTAATCTAATGATAACAGAGCAAAGCTTTCAAAGAACACCAACATTTCCCCACCTTTTATGCTTATATATTCAGACAAAGGCCAATTCAACAAATTACCAATAAATACACAATCCAATCAGCATCTCCACTTTTGTTTTTTCTCTCATTTCCCTGAAGAGGTAATAAACCACCCAATGGGTCCACTGACCGCATAAAGGTTTTGGCTTTTCTAGAAGTTACTGTTTTAACTGAATTAAGAATTCTCTGCCTCAGTTAACTGGGAAGACTTCACTCTAAAAAAAGATCTTGACAGACAGCTTAGTAATAAAACTTTTAACATGAACTAAAAACAGCTGAAAGAAGTAACTTTATTTCTCCTTTGCCTGAGGATTTGTGTACTGGAAAACTCCACAACACTATCAGAATTCAGGATAAATCCTTCACTTTCAGTTTACTAGCTGTTTTAGAGGAATCTATATGAAAGACTAGTTATCTTTATCCTCATGGTTTCATCATCTCAATGACAAAATATGCTGTTCTTGGATGTCAGCACTCTTCATTAAGCAGCTTGCAAAAATACTTCACTCCAAATTAGGAATACGTAGCACTTACTAGTTCCCTTACTCTTTACTTGCCCTAAGATCTCTAAAGCAGGATGCCTGACTGAAAGATCTCACATGTAGTCACCCTTACACAAGCATCCAAGAAAGCAAAGTTCACCTCACATCTAAGAGCTGGGATAGACCCCAGTACCTGCAGGAGCTGTTTCAGTGTAACCTGTCACCTAACAGACATTTACTGCTTCTGTGACAAGAGGGACAAAAGCACTTTCCCTCCTCCTCCCCCCCCCAAGTCTTCATACTGAAGCTCCATTGAGTGTTCTAGCTACACTATGGAAATTCAACGGCCAAGGACAGGACAGAACAGAAATCAGGCAACCACTGAGGCCAGTATTAGGTTCAGCAACTTTCTGAAAACTAGTGTTAGTGAGAAGACTGTCTGCATCTGCAAAGAAATTCAAAGTGTATAAGTCTAGAGCTGCTCCCATTGAAAATGACTTTGCATCCCTACTGGTTGAAGATGATACCCAGAAAATCTACACTCCTTCTATTTAGTAACAGCAAAATTAATCCCTTGCACCAACACATATTACAAAAGCAGCCTGAAGACAGCCAGCAGGGCAAAACCTACTTTGTAGAGGAAGGAGCAGCTCCTTCAGAGCAGGGACAGAAGGTACAACCCACTGACCCCCAGGAGCAGCAGGACCCGGGCTCTGCACTGGCGCTGGGGCTGCAGCAGTTCCCTCCAGCTGCTCAGCCAGGAGAGACACGAGAGCTACTTATGTAAGGGGCAAGAGAAATCAGATGACCAAGTACAACCAGTATACAGTCTTTCCCATAAAACACAGCTTCTCCTTACCAATTTTAGGATTTTCCTTCTGAAAGAAGGCAAACATCTTTGAAAAAGTTGTGAATGGGAACACTGTGACAAGACAGATGCCAGGAGAGCTGAAAATTAAGAGGCAGCAATCCTAAGGTTCAAGTGCAGATATGGGGTGACCTCAGAAAACTGTCGAGATCCTGAACCCCACCCCTGCCCTCCGAACAATTCACTGTCTCACTGCCTGACTGCTATAAACAAGCTGCAGCTCAAGGTCAAAAGTTCAGACATCACTGCTAAATACCAAGAGTCTATCCTAGGGGTAGTTTACATTTGAAAGATTTCATTTTAGAAATAAAATTTGCATAAAATCAAAGTATTTCAATGCTTTTAGTTAGACCCAGAAGAATAAAAATAGAGAAATAATGCTACAAAAATTGTAGCACGTGTCTGTAACTGCTTTGCTGGCTATCATTAAACACACTAGATTAATCCCAAGATTATAAACAAACCTACCACTTCATACACCCTCAATACTAACACCAAAGTGGCAGTTAATTCCTTCCTCTTCTAGAGTCAACATATTATTCCCATTAAAAAAAATTAACACATTAACAAGCTTTTAAATTTGCATGATGTTGGTTCAGTAATATGTAATTCAGTAATCCAGCCACGTTCCTCAGAAATCTCCCATTCTAATTTAAGAAATGTGTACTTCTCTGGAATACCACACCAAGTGGCCATAATTCTAGGCAAATATCAGCAGTGCTATACAGCCAAATTAGGACAGAGCACCACCAACATGTAGTATTAAGGTAGCTTTTAGTAT